ATGCTATATCTGTGTTTTTAATGTTTGACTTCGTCGCTAATTGGGGGATTCCCCGTGGATGATTTTGCTGAATAAATAAATAAATAAAAGTGCACAGTTACGCGACTCAGTGTGGGAAAACGGCAATTAATTGGAAAAGGATTGTGGATGTAGAATAAAAAGGTGCATTTTTTTAACCCTCGCCCTGGCAGGGGGGGTCGATGCGACCCCCCCCAAGGTTTTTCGAAGATAGCGTAAAAACGGCGGCGCTGCGCGCCGCCAAATTTAGCACAGCCTATGGGGCAACTTTTTTACATATGACCTGAAAATTTCAGGTCCGGGTGACCTTGGGTCAGGTCACCAGGTCAGAAAAACCGGTACAATGTCATGGTCAAATTTCAATTTTCTTTTTGCACCTATCCAACTCACAGTTTTGCACTGATTTCCTTCAAGATGTGCTAAGTTCACCGAGTTGTATAACATATAGTTCGGGTTTTTTGAGGTCACTGACCTGAGGTCAGTTAGAGGTCATTACGTCGTAATGTGAAGCCTATGGGAAAATACTAAATTCGGAAAATACTGGAGATATCCGCTTCGTTCTATCACTTTTGTGCTTTGAAACCACAGTAATTAACAGCAGGTCACTTGGTGCTTCTTTGTTTGGTGTACTTATCCGTGGGTTAGGTCAAATGAGGTCAACTGAGGTCAAATGACGTTTTTGCCAATAACTTGGCACATAATGACGCTAGAGCTTACAAAATGGTATCATTGTGTTCCTGGTGATCAGCCGAATCGAATGATATGCGATATGATGCAATTTAGTTAACTTTAACTTAATTTATTAATTTAACCCTCGCATGTGTAGGGGGGGGTCGGATGGACCCCCCCATGGTTTTTCGCGAATAACTCGCGTAAAAAGCGACCGATCGCGACGAAACTTTCAGTACCCTCGCATTGATCAATTTTACACCTACCCTGAAAATTTCATGACCCTGACCTCAATGACCTTTGACCTGTGACCTCTTTTCCGAGACCATGTTTGGCCGGAATCGCGATTCCGCGTATGTCGGCTCGCATTAGCCGCGTGTTTGCAAGCTTTTCGTGGTTTCAAACGTTCAAACATGTGATTTGATGTTGCTTCCATGCATTAGGGTGGGTGTCAAGGTCACCTGAAGATCAGGTCAGGTCAGTGACCTTTGGTGACCTCGGTTCACTTTTTCGAGTTTTACATGTTTCTAGGCTAGTTTTTGGAGCTGAATTCGAATTTAGCAACCATTTGAACATTTACGAAGTAGTTTTGGTGCCTTCGTAACATGTTACGAAGCTGTCAGAGGCGGTTGACATGTACCACGAATACCCGTCACGACCCCTACTGGTTGACCTGACCTGATCTGACCCGACCTGGTCAAAATGCTTAAAGACATCATCTGTGATCAAAACTAACACGATATTCGTGATCAGCACCCCGAAAAACCCCTTAGCAGCCACATTTTACGACTTTCTAACAGGTCCCGATTTTCCCGACTTTGGGTCATTGACCTGACCTGGAAGGTCAACCAATGACCTAGGACCTTAAAATTGGGTATCATCGGCTTCCTCTCGTCACGGGCAACACGCTCGTTTTTTCCGCGAAGCTCTAGCTCGATCAGTGGCTAAACGGCAAGGGGGGGTCCAACCGACCCCCCCCCCCCTACACATTAGAAGCTGGCAAACGCCGCACACATGCGAGGGTTAAGTTTACTTAAAATTTAAGAAAAACTTTAAGTACTTTTCAACAAGCCAAAACGTATATCATTCGACGCGCCGTGACGTGCTGAGTTCACTGGTGCTTTTCTTTTTGCTCTATCTTAATTAGAACAAAGGTTATAAGCAAAAAACTTTTGACCTGTTTTTAGCGAAATTTTCACATTTATACCCCCCAAAACCCCCCTAAATATTGATCTAGAGCAGCCAAATTTGCACAGGGGCGAGAACTCCAGCGGGCCCACCTACCTACCAAATTTGGTGTTTCTAGGTGCCATAGGAGCCAATCGCGAGGGGGGGTCGCATCGACCCCCCCCCCCCCCTGCCAGGCCGTGTTATGAAAAATGCCCTGCCAGGGCGAGGGTTAACGCGCATCGCTTTTCATCAGATAGGGTCCAAAAACACACGTTTTGGATAAGAAACTGGCCATTTTTATCTTAACACGCGCAGTGGAAGGGGGGGGGGCGGATTTCGCCCACCCCTCCTGTTTTTCGCCAATAACTCGCGCCGCAAACATAATATTAATGTGAAATTTCGGCTACCTGTCCAGAATTGAATTGCGGATCTTCTCATGCAAGAAATAAGAAAATCGGTTCACAACTTTTCTAGTAATAGCGATGTAAAGTCAAACATCCTGCCGCCGCGGCGGCGCGGCGGCGCGGCGGGCGGCGCTAGCCGTTACGCGCCGCCTGAATTGTAGACTGTGCCGGGGCGGGACGGTTCCGTCTTTACATCGCGCTCCTTACCGCTGATTATATTAGATTCGCGTCAAATTCGGTGAGAAGACTGAGAAATGTACAGGCAATCATATGGTCAAAGAATTTTGAAAATCGACCGGTAACAATTTGAGTTATGAGTGTTTAAACACAAAATTGTGATTGCCGCGTTTCCCGCGTCGGCCGATCCCGCTTCAGCCGGCGACATCTTACCCTTAGCAGGCTTTTAACTACCATATTTATTGTTGGATTATCTAGAAATTCACCATACATACTCACAAATGTTTGTTCTTTCGTATAGTGAAAGAAAGAAGAAAATCGGCCGGTAACTTTTTGAGTTATCGGCGTGTAAACGCAAAAAACTCGCTAATATGGCAGATTTGACCACATTTGACCTCATTTGACCTTGAAGATATTGACCTAGGGTCATGAAATTCACACACAACAGAGTTCCCCATGGCCCCCACCTACCCTCCAAATTTCGTCTTTCTAGCTCCAGTGGGAGCTGAGATCTTAGGGGGGGGCGACATCCGCCCCCCCCCCCTTCCACTGGGCGTAGTACTCGCAACCCTTCCACTGCGCGTGTTAACTCCCCTAAAACGTTCCACCAGAAGCACCGACCACCGGAAAAGAGTTAAGTTTGATAACCCAAGTATAACAGACCTTTTGACACTGTTTTTACCCCGATTTCTCTTGCCAGCTTTTCTGCAGAGAGGTAGGTCGCAAATAGGAAAGGGTCGCTAATTAGGCACCTTACCTTACCGTGCATCAATTTGACATCTCCACACAAAATTTCAAGTCTTGGGTCACCTTAGGTCAGGAGTTATTGAGGTCAAACTGAGGTCATGTTCGAGCAAAAATGAGCAAAAAACATGAAATCTTGAAACGCTCACCAAAGCTACAGTTACTAGCAATTTCAAACTTCTTTATATGGCCATGTAGAGAAAAGACGGCGCTACAAAACTCAAACTGCTATCTCTGATTTTCAAAAATTTTGGATTTTGACCCCTAAAATTAAAAAAAATCTATTTTTTAGAATAAAAACGCAAAAAATCCCAAAACTTTTTTTGGATTTCGAAAAACCGGAAAAGGTATATGTGATAGTCCCTGCGCTCTTCTATCTACATACATACCAATTTTTAGATCGATACCTCTTTTTTTTTGGCCAACTTATAGCGAAAAAAAATGTTCAAAATTGATGACGTCAAATTTTTGAACTCAATTTTTGGCAATTCTAGAGCACGTAGCGCAAAAAAAGACCACCATTGAATTCCCCGTGACGAGCTGCATCGAATCGATGCCCATTTTATGCAAAAATATCAAATTTGAAATTTGACCTAATTTGACCTGACCTTGACCTGACCTTCGCCAGAACAAAATCTAAACTGACCCCAAAGGCTACCTGACCCATATAATCGCATTTGACATATAAAATGGACCATAAAACATGTATCACATGATATCTTCATATTGTGACCCCAGTGACCTGACCTCTGTGACCTGAACTGGTATCAGTGACCTCAACTAGCAAAATATGTGTTTGACGAACAATACCCCATCGATAATTTTCAATGAAATGCATTTAACTCGATTTTACAACGCATTTCTTGAAATGCCTGTAAACGGTGAAAATTTGACATTTAACCTGACCTGTGACGTCATCGGTTTGACCTAGGTCAATGAAATTGGGTCACAAGGTAGTTCGCTGTTGGGGCTACCAACACCGTTTGCTGCTTGTCGCTATATTGCGTGGTTCTCGAGATCTTAGGGGGCCAAAATGCCCCCCCCCCCCCCCCTCAGCAGGGCGCGTTGCTCGGCAGACCCCAACGGGGCTCGGGTTAATGTCACAATCGCGAGTATTTGACATTTGACGAGCTATGTTGTCTGGTGTGCTGGCCTTTAACTTTATTTTATAAACAGTACAGACATGTTGTAAGCGTTAAAATATTTAGATGAGTACCTACCAGAAAGTGCAAAATATCAAACATGCAGTCAGAAAACGCGAGACTGGTGGCCGTCTCAGTGCGACTGCCTTCACTCCAACCAATGATGACGTCAATCGCCATAACTCGTGTCAATGATTGAAAGGTTATGACTGTTCAGCAGTGAGTTTACGCCGAGACTTGACGTGCGCCAGCAGACGGCGGAGCCATCGGCGCCGGGCGGATGTTATTGGCCTTCTGTTTAGCTGACGTCCCTGGTGCCCTGGTCGGCACGCGGCCCCGCTCCGGTCGGTACCGGCTGGCGCGAACTGACCCCACACCGGTATCCGGGCGTGTGGCCGCCCAACCACGCAGAACTATTCTGCGTCGCACCGTGGGGCTTTCCAGGGACGGTAGCCGGTAGCGGCGCTGTCGTCACCGTCCGACATGCCGCGGGAGGCCGGCGGCGCTGATCGTACGGAGAAGTGACGTGTTCGGTGCATTGGGGTGAAGTCCCCGCCGGAGTGGCGGTCTGCGGGGCTGGCCGGCGCCGCGGGTCACGGCGGCCTCTGCTCGCCTATAGAAGCGTCGCGCGCACCGAGCGCCGCCAGTAGCCCCCCGGCTCGGCTGGTGGCTGGAGATGGCGCCCTGTCGACTGAGATGGCTCGTGCTTCTGCCGCTGGTGGTCGGAGCAGCCGTTGCTGAAAGGTGGGTTCCATGCTCGAAACGTCTGTCCGTGACTCGTCAGAACGACCAGCCGGGGACGCACAGTGACCTACGGTGCTGTCGTGGACTCGGAAAAGTGTTAGATGTTAAAATTGAGGGCTATTTGGCCATTAGTCAGCCTGGCCTAAGAGGACGGAGCCAGACTTGGGATATGCTGTGTATCAGGATGATATTTAGCACAAAATTTTTAATTCATTGTAAATTGTAGAGCAGCACACCAACTTATCATTCATTAACAATTCATAAGCTTTTTGTTTACATGAATTGGGATTGGCCATTTGGAGATCTTAGGATGCAGAAATAGCATCATTGCATCATTAGTGACCCACAACGTTTGTGTACATTCACGGTTGTCTTTTGCAGACATTATCTGTTCACGGCACCTAAGGTGTCCTATGCCGGCGAGTCGGAGACGATGTGTCTGACGCTGTTCGACGTTCCCGAGACGGGAGACCTGACCCTCGACTTCTCCGGCTCCGGGGACCGGCGCACCCTACACACTCAGTCCGTCGCCGGCGTGTCAGGTAGGCCATATGCCGACAGGTTGGACGGGTGGGTCGGCTGACTGACTAGATTGGTGGGTCGGCTGACTGACTAGATTGGTGGGTCGGCTGACGACTAGATTGGTGGGTCGGCTGACTGACTAGATTGGTGGGTCGGCTGACTGACTAGACTGGTCGGTCGGCTGACTGACTAGATTGGTGGGTCGGCTGACTGACGAGATTGGTGGGTCGGCTGACTGACGAGATTGGTGGGTCGGCTGACTGACTAGATTGGTGGGTCGGCTGACTGACGAGATTGGTTGGTCGGCTGACTGACTAGATTGGTGGGTCGGCTGACTGACTAGATTGGTGGGTCGGCTGACTGACTAGATTGGTGGGTCGGCTGACTGACTACATTGGTGGGTCGGCTGACTGACTAGATTGGTGGGTCTGCATCAAAATCGGCCGACATTAAGTCACTCTGACGTCATTTTCGGCCAAACTGTGGTAGCTAGAAAGTTGAAACCTTAGCACAAGGTGTCAAATTGATGCCGCTGAAGGTACCGTAAGTTTCGTGCTGATCCGTCAAATGATTTAGAAGATATTGCCGAAAAACGGGGGGAGGGGGCTCTGTAGCCCCCCCCCCCCAGTCATGCTCGGGCTAAAGCGATTTATCACGCGATAAAAGTAGCACTGAAGCTTGATCAGAACTAGGTCACAACGTAAACTGGCTTTTTGCAAAGTCCTAAAACGTTACTTGGAGACCTAATCTTTAAAGACCTCGGTCTTGAATTTTTACGCGTGCCAAAAAATGCCTAAGGGGTTATGTCGAAACAGTCTGCGCTCAGTGACACTTTTTAAGATGTTCGCAAACACGTAATTTATCTTTTTTAAATCAACAAAATTCACAAAAGTTTCACGGAGCATGCCAAATTACCCATGCCTGAGCATTGCTATCTCAAACGGCTCACAAGCTGTTCAAAGAAGACAACGATCGGAACAAGCCCCTCACAGACGGTCCTGATTTTAGAGTCGGGACAAGTCATTGTGAACTGCCTACGACTGATCAACGAGCAGCCTAGTGTGTAAAAGGCACCACTCACGTACCACGTGTCAGAAAGAATGTGCGCGCGTCGGTGTCACCAGTCACAGCTCGAGGCGCCATGTCTGCCGTCCATCTATCTCTGCAGCCACTCTGCTAGCCTTGGTCGCTCCACTGGCGACTCATTGGCCCAGCGCAGCGCCCGGACTATCCTTGGCGGACGATTGAGACCGCGCAGTGATGCCGGCATCCGGTACCGACGACTAAGGCCGCCCAGACAGCTGAAGGCCGTTTCCGTGACTAGCGCCTCGTCTTACGGGTGATTCGCCGCAGCACCTAACTACTACAGTAGGTGTTGCTGAGCGTTTAGAAAGGCCTTTAAATAAAGTGTTCAATGGTTTTAACTAAAGCTGAAGCTAATTTTTTAAGAATTAGGCTTTGCCCGACGTTTCGCATTCATTGTTTATTGATAATTCAAATTAGGTGTCCCCTGACGTTTCGCATTCATTGCTTATTCATGGTCATATTTTTACTGCAGGAGGGTTTTGGACTGAAATGGATTATCATGTACCGTCAAGCTTGCCACCATTATACATCGTTAGGAGGAACAGCATGGCTCACTTAAGCCTCGCCGGACCTATTGGTTTTCTACATACGCGCCGGCCGAGGGGGGGGGGGGCCGGAACGACCCCATCCCCTCGCCGTTTCGCCCCGTTTTTTTTTTCGCGTCGCAGAAAAAAACGAGCGTGTGCGCCGTTACGAGACGCAGAGACTGATACCCAATTTTAAGATCCTAGTTCAACCGGTGATCTCTGAGGTCAGGTCAAGCGCCCCAAGGTACGGTTCCGTTTTTGGTGAATAACTTCCCAAAAAACGGCCGCAGAGCCGCGATTTTGGCAGCATCATGTTCGCCTTGCTCAGGCGCTTCGAACGATATACTTTTGGTTGGATAAGGTCAACTTAGGTAGGGTGTTGACCTCAGGTCACGGTCAGGTCAGCGCCCCCAGGTCACAAAGTTGGTCGAAGGAGGTCATATCGCATATCACTCGATTTGGCAGGTCTTCCTGAGTCCATTGGTGGCTTTCCCGACTCGCTAGCTCATTTTGATCGGAGTTATTGACGAAAACTAATATGACCTTGATGACGTCATAAATGACGTCACGCAAGGTCAGCATTGCAAAAGTGACGCATCTAGACTTGCAAGGAGGGCATGAAATCACGATTCTGATAGTTTGAGATCGTTCCCGGCGACAGAATAGCAGTTTTCATTTTTCCCCATTGACTTTTAATGGTGAGGTCATGAAAATGACTGATCTCATATGACCTTTAGTAAAAATCTGAGGTATACAAGTTGTGAGACTTGTAATGGATACGAGATCCTGCAAGTTTCATTTTCCTGTGAAAGCTCCTCTGGCAGTGAGGGCGTTGCGAAGTTGCGACATCTAAGGACCGTGCAGAGGCTAACTTATCCCTCGCCGGACCTATTGGTTTTCTACATACGCGCCGGCCGAGGGGGGGGGGCGGGTACGACCCCCCTCGCCGTTTCGTCCCTGGTGGAGCTAGCGCGTCGCGGAAAAAACGAGCGTGTGCGCCGTTACGAGACGCAGAGTTTGGTACCCGATTTTAAGGTCCTAGGTCAACCGGTGACCTCTGAGGTCAGGTCAAGTGCCCCAAGGTACGGTTCAGTTTTTGGTGAATAACTTCGCAAAAAACGGCCGCAGAGCGCCGATTTTGGCAGCATCGTGTTCGTCTCGCTCAGGCGCGTCGAATGATATGCTTTTTGTCCGGGTCAGGTCAACTTGGGGTGTTGACCTCAGGTCAAGGTCAGGTCAGCACCCCCAGGTCACGAAGTTGGTCCAAAGAGGTCATGTCGCATATCATTCGATTCGGCAGGTCTTCCTGAGTCCATTGGTGGCTTTCCCGACTCGCTAGCTCAATTTGATCAAGAGTTATTGATGAAAAACTAATATGACCTTGATGACGTCATAAATGACGTCACGCAAGGTCAACATTGCAAAAGTGACGCATCTAACCTTGCAAGGAGTGCATCAAATCACGATTCTGTGTGCTTGAGATAGCTGGAGATCGTTCCCGGCGCCAGAATAGCAGTTTTCATTTTTCCCCATTGACTTATAATGGTGAGGTCACGAAAATGACCTGACCTCATATGACCTTTAGGAAAAATCCGAGATATACAAGTTGTGGGACTCATAATGGATATTAGATCCTGCAAGTTTCATTTCCCTGTGACATCTCCTCTGGCAGTGAGGGCGTTGCGAAGTTGCGACATCTGAAGACCGTGCAGAGGTTCACTTATGACGTCATAGGTCAGTGACCTGACCTGACCCAAAAATGCGGTTGATGTCAAAAGATCCGGCTTGGATCAAAGGTCAGGTATGCCAAGTTTCAGCTCTCTATCGCCAGCGTGTTCGGAGCTATCGCGAAAAAACCCTATGGGGGGGCGGCACCCGCCCCCCCCCCCTCGGCCGGCGAGGGTTATGACGTCATATGTCAGTGACCTGACCTGACCCGACAACGCGGTTGATGTCAAAAGATCTGGCTTGAATCAAAGGTCAGGTATGCCAAGTTTCAGCTCTCTGTCACCAGCGTGTCCGGAGCTATCGCGAAAAAAATCTATGAGGGGGGCGGCACCCGCCCCCCCCCTCCTCGGCTGGCGAGGGTTAACACACAATGTTAAATTCCAGGCGGTTTCAAGCAAACCTGTTTCGACGTGAAGATGCCAGATACAGCCACTGGGAGAAGCACGCTTCACCTAACGGTGACATTCCCGACTCAAACCAACTACAGCATACGCGGAGAGAGAGATTTCAGTATCAGGTAAATATATTCTTACTTTATTCTTTGTTCATGTTTAAAATTTTGAAAATCCGTTGACGCTGTTGTTGTCATACGAGTATATGTCATACCGTCCGTGGTCTTCATTATTGCCTCGATAATCTCATTGTCTGTACAAAAAAAAATCGCTGTTTCGTTAATGTTTTAAAAGTAGGGGAAGCCGGGGGAAGCCCGGCATAGTAAGCTCTTTTTCATTTTTATTACATACCATACGTGCTGTATAAAATGTTGATATCCTGCTAAAGTTCATTGGCCGTGTTTTCCCAAAAATTCGGTTTCGTGGAATAAGTATAAGGTTGAGAAAATCGAGTTTTAAAAAAGTGTTGATTTTTCTGGGGTAAGCCCGGCATAGGGGTAACGCCGGCCACCTCCCCAGCGCTTTACAACGAGTTGATGAAACCATTATGTGTTTTTTAAATATTAACGGAAAGTGAAATATTAAGGTACTGATTAGCTCTGGACATCTTAGAGTTTATGTCACTACTGGTATCTTAGCTAGCGTCTACTACATATGCAGTAGGGGAAAGTGGGGCAAAGCGGCCACCCGGGGCAAAGCGGCCACCCATCGTTTTAGCCCTGCTGGCGTCAGCTCCAATTTATGGTTTCCAATTATACTTCTCTTCACGGTCGTTCGAATGAGCCAGACCGGGGTTTCAGGCCCATCACCATTGTTCTGTGAAACACGGAAAAACATTTCTTGCCAGGTTACCAACTATGTTTACAATTTTTAAATGTTATGTTATTCCATAGCCGTTTGGAATTTTTATAAGCGTTCTGGTCCATGCATTGCATGGTTATCGTACATGCATTCTACCAATTTTAATGTTTTTTACCCCACTAATAGCTAAGCTGGAATATTTTTGTCTCGGACGGTATGCGCGGGGCAAAGTGGCCGGGGCAAAGTGGCCACCCCCCAATTGGCCATAAGTTGCTTCCATCTGGATAAAAAACATTATTTATATTCAAATGTGTCGTCATGCATTCATCTTTTGCCACTCTTCAGTTGCATGAGTTACCAAATAATGCAGTTATATGTTTATTTTCATGAAAATCCTTTCTTTGTTTACCTACAGGTGGAAGATGATAAAGTAAACATCCATCTTCGCTTAACCTTGTCACCATCAAATACCCTAGTCGTACACGAGGCAACTATTTTGTTTCTCGTATCGGGA